GCAGTAACAGTAGCAGTAGTAGTAACACTGGCAGTAGCAGTAGTAACAGTAGTAGTAACAGGAGCAGTAACAGTGGCAGTAGTAGAAGTAACAGTAGCAGCAGTAAAAGTAACTGTAGTAACTTAACACTAGTAGCAGTAGTAGTAACCACAGTGACAGTAGTAGTAACAGTAACACTGGCAGTGGCAGTGGTAGTACAGTGGCAGTAACAGTAGCAGCAGTAAAAGTAACACCAGCTGCAGTAGTAACAGTGGCAGTAACAGTAGCAGCAGTAAAAGTAACACCAGCTGCAGTAGTAACAGTGGCAGTAACAGTAGCAGCAGTAGTAAGAACAGCAGCGATTGTCGTGTGACACACAGATTGTTTTAAATTCCCCGTCAGGTTCTGTATCTGTGTCCCGGTTCTGTGTCCCGGTTCTGCAGGACGGACGAAGTGGAGCAAAGCGACCGGAGACCCGCACGCACGCTGCAGTACCGGCGGCGGCTGGCAGGGCGAGCAGTGCTAGCAGCAGCAAAGAAGCAGAGGGACGCTCATCCTCTCGGACACAACTGGGGAAGATGAAGCAGGAGCAACAACAGTAAATGTGGTAGTAACTGCAGCCAATGTTAAGTAGTAATAAAAGCAGAAAGAGAAGAAGTAGTAGTAACAGTGACAGTATTTTTAATAAAAGCAGTAGTAGTAACAGCTACAGTGGCTGTAGTAGTAATAACAGCAGTTATACAAATAACAACAACAGAAGCAATACTAGATAATACTGCAGTATTCTGAATACTACAGTGGCAGTTTTAGTAATAACAACAGTTCCATTAATAGTATCAGGGTTACACAATCATCTCTAATTGGCAGTGAAGGAGCTGAGTGACGCCTCTCTGTCTCCACCCCTGATCTCTAACTGAAGATCAGGACAGCTGCTCCTTCTCAACAGCTGATCTTTTAGGTCTCATTGTTTCATTCAGGGTTTCTAGGGACTTTATCTCAAACTGCAGTTTTTCCGTTGCTCTCTCTGTTTCTCTCTAAATAAATGCAGCTTGTGGAAAGTCCCAAAGTCACCCAGGTAACTAGAAACCTGAGAGAGACAGGGGGCTAATACTAGAACTACATAGCAATACTACACCTCTGGACACTCCCATACATTAACACTGCACTGAGAGAGAGGGGTTAATACAGACACACTGACTGGACACTCCAGTACATTAACACTGCACTGAGAGAGAGGGGTT